CTAATACTAATAATAATAATAATAACAAATGACAATGACGATGAGGCTGTGACGTATGTGTTTTCCATAGTGTAGTTCTAATCTAATCATTATTATTTTTCAACATGTTCCTGATGAAGCCAAACGGTGAAACGTTGAACGTATCATATAACATATTTGGGAAATCCTTCTAAGTATCAACCTTATGATGATGATGATGATGATGATGATGATGGTGATGATGATGATGATGATGATGATGATGATGATGATGATGATGATGATGATAACGAAGTAATATCATTTATTATCAATCAGAGCCAGTGGTGATTTACAGTGAGATGAAAATTTTAATAAAGGCTAGACCAGAGAGCTAAAGCAAAAACACACATTGCGCAATTTGAGTTCCTGTGTCTTCTACATGACGTCATTGTTAGGGTTGTACCCTACATGGAAGTTCTATCATGTTAGATTACAAAATGGTTGAATGATCTTATGATGTCATAAACATCCAGCAAGAATAGTCGAAAAGATCAGCGAAAATCGAATGGAATGGAAACCAGTGAAGTCGACCAATGGACGAGTGTGCTCATCGCATAATATTGAACGTGGCTCAACCGGCGGCTTACTTTTGATTCCAGTTACAAAAGGAGAAGGGAGTAAATTTGTAGGACATGACAATGTAGTAAAAGGAGTGAGTGAAAGAGAGAGAGGGAGAGAGAGAGAGAGAGAGAGAGAGAGAGAGAGAGGGGGGGGGGATCATCATTATAGGCTAGTGCTTTGACTTTTAAGTTTCTAAAATTTCATCTGTACCTTACACATAGTTTGTAAATGGCCACTGTCCCATTTTGTTCTTGGAAATTATTATTTCCGCCCATTTTTGAGTGTTTCTGACATGTTTCTACAGAAGTATTGTTTACTTGGTTTCTAGTCTTATCGCCAGGACTCTTCCATGTTTACCATTTTCTTTAGCGGTTTTCCTGTTAAGTGTTTGAAACGGTTTTCTCTGCACCACTCTACACAACTCTCACCGAGCTCATTTTCGTTATCCTTCCTGCCAACTCTTCACGGCCCAACCATATCCCTCCTATCTTTGTATTGAAGTCCACCTTGACTATTTTTACATCCTGGGAATTGAATTGCTCGACTGCTATAAACAAATATCTACTTCCCCAATGTCATGCTCCGCTATTTGTGTATTAACTTGACTCGTTTCTCTTTCAAAAGATTTTCCTTTTAGTTTGGCTTTGAAAACTCGTGTGTGTTCCTCCCTGAAAACCTTTCCTTTTACCTCATCAAAGAAAAATTCTACACCTTATTCATGGCTCCCCCACTCCACATTAAGCACTGTTTTACTTCCCGATTTGATTGAGACTTCTCCTCTCCGTTAATTTCAGAAAGACCTAATAAAGTTTGATTTCATCAAAGCCATTTACTATTACTTCTCAGTTGCCGATAATAATAATGAAAATAACAA